TGAAAACTAAATTAGAAATAACTAAGAATTTAACCGAAGCTAACACAATTCTAACGTAGTAATTTAATAAATAATTAAATATATTAAATTAATACGTTAGAATTGTGTTAGTAACTTAATTTAAACTAGCCGGCGGATATCAAAAGGCACGTAATATACAGCCGAGCGTAACAGCTTGAAGAGAGATTTAGCCCGAAAGTAAACGCGCGCTACTCAGGATTCCTAGCTCTTTCTCACGAAATAATTTAAACCTTCTTTAAATACTACGTCTAACTCATTTGCATTCAACGCGATTCTAAAACCTCATTCGGGTAGGGAGTTGTAAGTAGAAACAAGAACTGATAGGAAAGCACTTTAAAATTAAAATAACTGTTATAAAATTAGAATATACTGTTACGGTTTTTGTATTTAGTTTGCTATTTTCAGCAGAATTGTAATTAAAACTGTTTCGTTTCCCCATGCAATGCAGCGAGTGACGAGTTTCAAGAAAACGCGCATTTAATAAATAGATATCTCGTAATTGCTTTTACTTTCCAGAAACCTTGAGAAAATACCAGAAGCTTCGGCGATAATTCTCTGCAGTTTTTAAATTTAATGTTTCTCTTGGATACTGGGCGTTTATTGAGAAGGCAACGGGGAGTTGCTTTATTTATTTATTAGGATAATTAATATTTGTATTAAGGGATATTGCTTATTTCATTGCAGTTTTGTTATATGTAATACATTTTTATAAAATTTTTAGTCCAAAGGGATTTGAGTCCCGAAGGACTATTACTTTCGTTTTGGCATTTTGCGTCAGACTCCTATAAATGTCGGTTCACTTTTCAAACTGTTGCCACAAAATGTCAGAGTCCTGCATTATATATGAAGAAAAAAATAATGAAAAATCTGCATAAATGTATGTATATTTCTCGCATTGTGATAAAACAACGGTATCTAGAACGATCCAATTTTGAATGACGTAATCCTACTGCGAATATGGACATCTGAAATCCCAAATTTGAAATTTGGAATTTGTTTTATTATCGATTTCATATTTTGTAAAACTTTAACGAATTTTTGATCAGCAAACTGAAGGATTTAAAAGCGAGCAAAGGCAACACTCTAAGGGAGGGGAATTTTTATATCTCCAGCGCATCGAACTGTGCATCGGAAATTCTAAAGATATGCCCATTTTAAAATTATTTTTGTGACATTGCTATTGAACTAAATTTTATGGTTTAAGTGCAAAGAACATGATATTTAATAAATAAAGGTAACAGACAAAACGCTAAATAAACGCCCCTTTGGACGTAATTTAAAATCTGAAACATTTCAGATTTTTTTTTTTTTTTTTTTTTTTTTTAATTTTTATTTTTAGTCCAAAGGGGCTTTGACCCTGAATGTCTATTGTTTTCGTTGAATCACTATAAATGTTCGTTTCACTTTTCAAACTGTTGCCACAAAATGTTAAGAGTCCTGCATTATATTTGAAGAAATTAAATAATGAAAAATGTGCATAAATGTATGTATATTTTTCGCATTGTGATAAAACAACTGTACATAGAGACATTGAATTTTGAACGACGTAATCCTACTGCGAATATGGGCATGTGGCAGCCCAAATTTGAAATTTGGAATTTGCTTTTATTATCAATTTCATATTTTGTAAAACTTTAACGAATTTTTGAGTAACAAACTTTACGATTTGAAAGCGAGCAATGGCAACAATCTAAGAGAGGGGGGAAACCTTTTTATCTCTAGCGGGGGAAACTGTATCGGAAATTCTAAAGGTAGGCTCTTTTTAAAATTATTTTGCGACATTGCTATTGAACTGAAATTTATCGTTTAAGTGCGAAAAACATGACATTTAATAGATAAAGGTAACACACAAATTATTTAAAAAACGCCCCTTTGGACGTAATTTAAAATCTGAAACTTTTCAGATTTTTTTTATTTTTATCTTTTATTTATTTTATTTATTTTTTTTTGGGGGGAAGTTGCTCTGCAGAGTAAAATTCTGCGCAGTTTTTAAATTTAACGTTTGGTGCTGTTCCTTTAAGCCATTTTTCCAGTACATTTAAAAGCCAGACGAAGGCTGGCTGCGTAGCTGTTAGCTAAATTATAAAAAATTTATTGAAAGCTGTTTAATTTTCATTTCACTGCAAACTTTGAAATAAAAAATTCAGTAGTAGCCTTAGGCACTGTACCATACAAGGATACTTACCAAGTCATTGAAGACTAAATTCATGCCCTGCTATTAGACAGCTTTGGAAGAGAACCAACTAAAGACAGTTATACGTTAAGAAATAATGATGCATAAATTGTAAATATTGTTTAATGAATGAATCTTTTATGTAGCTTTCAGATAATTTTGTTTATTATAAAAGATTTTTTTTTTTTTTACTTATTACGTGCTCCACCCTTAGGTACTACACGGAAAGGTAGGGATGTTCTTGCAGGGCCTTTTAAGGAAAACGGTTTCGTATCCACGTTAAAGATGAAGAGAACCACAGAAACGCCCATGTAGCCAGCCCGTTCGTCAGGACTCGAAACGCAAATTTAACTACCAGTATACAGCTCGGCCGCTGGTAGGCCTGATACTTAAGCTTTTTCGAATGAAGTTTTTCATTTTAGAGCATCTGTAACGGATGCACCATTCCTTAGCCCAAATGGGCATTCGCCCAAAGGGCTATTGCTCTCGGAACAGCATTTTGCTTCGAATCGCTATACACCTATGTATCGCTTTTCAAATTGTTACCACCAAATATTATCGCCCTGTGTTATATTTAAAAAAAAACTAAATAATGAATCTGCATAGATGTCTGTATATGTTTCACGCATTGTGAAATAACCGCTGTCCACAAAGCCATCAAATTTTAAATAATGTTCCTCCACCTGAACATGGGCACCTGTAAAAGCGAATTTGGAATTTAGAATTGATTTTATTGTTTATTTCATAATAATAACTAACGAATTTTTATTAAGAGACTCAACAATTTCAAAGGCAGCAGTGGCAATATTGTAGGAAATAAAACATTTTTATCTCCAGCTTGCGACACTTGTCTATCAGAAATTCTAAAGATATGCTGTTTTTAAACATTTTCAGACCAATGTGGAGTTACACCAAAAGGATCTCGAAACGTGCATGGGTCTGTAAATGCTATAAACGGCTATTTCAGCGCAATATAAAATCTGAAATCTTTCAAGTTCTGTTTATTTGTAATTTCACTATTCGACACAAGTATGGCTGTTAGTGCAAACTAGTTAAGCTTAAAGTTTCATCGCACAAGTTGCTTTAGCTCTTTGTGATAAAGAGAAGCTCAATTTTTTTAAACCCTCTCAGTGTTATGAGCAGAAAATTTCCTATAGGAGGATGGCTTTTCGTAGTATTCATTACACATGAAAATTTCTGCCAACATTTATTGTTAGCTCCTTTCGGATTTCGTTTGGTTTATAAGCCTCAAAGCTATCTGCGTAAGGGAAGGGATGCCTTCGTGGATTAGATTATTTAATTATGGCAAAGCACATGAATGCTATCTGCCTAAAGAAACGGATGCCTTCGTGGAGGACTTACTAAGGGAAACTGGCTCGTATATACGTTACACATGGAGAAAACCACGAAAACGCCCATGCAACCAGCCCGTTCGCGGGATTCGAACCTCGGACCGAACTACCAGTGTTCAGCGTTTTTACCGCTCGAGCGCTGGTGGGCCCAGCATGCCTTTGTTGAGAACTCTAAGAAAAACTGACTTGTATATTTGTTACGCATGGGAGAAAAACGAAAACACTTATGCAGCCAGCACGTTCGTGGGATTCGAACCTCGGACCGAACTACCGGTATTTAGCGACTTGACCGCTCAGCCTCTGGTAGGCCCCTCACTACGGGTTGGATGCATATTGGAAGAAAAGGAGTCAAGGTATTCCTTTTAATTCTAATCAAGAAAATATCATTTATTCATGACGTTTTAAGGAACTTTGAAACTTCAGGGCAAAACCAGTAATGCTCAGAAGGTTAATCTTTCAAAATACCACATTAAGAGGATTTAATTTCAATGTAATTTATATAAATTCCAGATTGTGTTCAATTCAGAGTTTTCCGAACTTCATAACCGAGTTGCTCGAAATTAGGGCACGTAAATGAAAAAAACTCACATTGGGTAGCGGCGTAAATTAGAATAAAATATTTAAAAGGAATTAGATTTTCTTACCATTTGTCAATTTGAAAATTTATTAAGTCCTTAAAGTAGTTTAAGTATTCATTTAAACACGGTTAAAGTTAACGTGAAAACCAACTGGCGATGAATTCCCACTATATAAGATTACAGGCTACAGTGAAGCCGAATTCCTCGAACGCGACACAATTCTCAACTTCAATTGCAGCTAATTTGGCAGGTTTAGAAACAAATTAACACAAGGTTACTAGCAAATTTTTGAATTTGTAAACAGCGATGGATTCCATTTAAGAAGAAATGTTTGTTATATTGTCTGTAAACTTCAGAATATAAATATTTTTACAAAAAATCAGCTGAAGTTTTCCGGCATAGTTCAGAATTGTATCTCAGAAATTTAGGACGGCTGTTAAGTTCGCAAATTCATTACCTTCAGCTAAGTAGGAAATTAGCTTGGGAAATCGAAATTATATATGAGAAAGAAGTTCATACGTAATTTTAAAATAATTTGAAAACAAGAGCTATGGGAAAGTCAAAAGTAATCTTCTCATAATTTTAATTCTATTTTCTATCGCTGAACTCAAGCTTATATATTTGCATAAATTACATATTATTGACGAAAATTACCGTTAACTCTCGTAAAAAGTTGCAAGCATTTCCTAATTTACACCTTGAATTATTTTTAATTATTCTTAAAACTTCAGTTACTAATACAATTTAAGATTAATTATTTCTAGGAAATCAGCATCAGAAGCTCAGGTCTACTTAACCATAACTCGTTGCTAACTACCAAGCCTCTTTAATCTATCATTACCGGAATCGAGGTCTGACTACTTAAAGAACAAACAATACAATTCCGATTTTATTAAATACAGAAATAACATGTTAAAAACTTAACATTAAGAATTAACATTATCCGAGTTTACAGAAAAATTCCTCGGTAAACATCTCAGATGTTCCAAGATTTTTAAATTTCAAGTTCCTTTGGAATTTCATATTAACAGAAGCGTGAGGTACTTGATCCGTCGTAATTTCTTACATTGGCTACAGTAATAAGCATCTTAACAAAGTCTTATTTGAATTGCATCCGTGTACTTATCAGTTTGACACAAACAATTAAAGATACACAATACATGTGAATGATTTCGCAAAATATCTTTCAATATAGTCTGCTGGACGACAAACGAGAGTTTGGAACGGGGCTTTAAATGGATGCTCCCAGTATACACGTACAGTTCCATCAGGATACTTGAAAGCCTCAATTTTTAAATTCGGATCAAAAATTTTTCGAATAATGGATATGGCTCTAGCAGCGAAGTTTTTCGACAAATCGGTTATAAATTCTTTAGGCTCATCACCATGGTAACGCAAGTTTTCTAGATATTTAATATGGTGAGAACCAGTCACAGAACCTGTATATTCCAAAATAGAACTCTCCGTATCCTCTATATCGTCTAAGTAAATGTCTTCACCAGAACCTTCATTTAAGTATTCTTCCTGTGTTGCTTCGTGGGGTTTCGTTATTAAAGTTTCAGATGTAAATAATGGAATTTCAGTTCCAACATCCGACCTGGCATCTGTTTCTTCATTTAATTCTTCCTGCACTGCGTTATGGAGTTCCGCTGCAAAAGTTACAGGCGTTACTAATGGAATTTCAGTACTTTCACCGTGGAACTTTGCATTTTCTGGCTCCTGAACTGAAGAATGAACTTGGATTTCATCTTGCATTAAAAACGCAGGGAAGACTGATGACCTGTGTGCTGCATCATGAAGATTTTTTCCAATTCTTCGTAGAACTTCAGTGTAATTAATATGTACCGTTCCTTCAGGCTCAGGATACTCCACTGCCCTTTTCAAACGTAAATTACTATCTAGCTTGTTCAATTTTTCTTTAGCCTCAGGAGGAGGTTTTTTAGAGGCACCTTCGGTTTTACTATCCTTTATTTCGCCAACTAGGGAACATTTAAAATGGTAATCTGAAACAAAAACTGCGAGACTCAGGAATAAGTTTTCTGCTTCAAAGCCACACTTCTCCAGAATCATTGTAGCACCACAAGCCATTAAGTGATTAAGAACCCTGAAATAGAATAACAGGAATCAATGTTAATCGATAGATTGAAATGATTTCCAGAAATATTAAGCATTATTTCTTTTAACTTCTTTCGAAACTCTTTTAAATACAGATTTCTTTTTAAAATGAAACCTACGGCATAAACTTTAGATTTGATCAAATACGAGAATTACGCTTTTGCATTTATATCCCAAGAACATATTATATAAACAGTCCGTATCCATTATGTAGCATTAAATGTTCACAAACAAAATGCTGAACTGAATTCTAAATGCCATTACGTTCCATTTCATACGAAATTTGTGAAGAGAAAGGAGCTAATATATAGTTGGAAAAATTATTTAACCAAATATATCAAGGAATATAAGTTGTCTGCATTAAGGTGCCCTTGTAGACTTGTACGTAAGGAAAATAGACTCATAGTTATGTTATGCGTCAGTGGAATTACTAAAACAGCTACCTTGTTCCCTGTGATTCAAGCCCTAGTCAATCTACCATTGTTCATCCGTTGTTATCTACTGTTATTGCTGAAAATTGGTTGTTAGGCTGGTTTTGGTTTATTTGATGAGGTAGATGGCTTTAATGACCTCTGTCATAAGGAAGGGTTGCCTTCGTGGTGGATTTTTTAAGGGAAATTGGTTCGTATTCACGTTACGATACAAGAGAAATTGGTTCGTATTCACGTTACGATACAAGGGAAAAAACTACATATAGACAGCCCATTCGCCTGGAATAGCGTCCAAGTCTAACTACAAATATGCTGCGACTATTGGGGTACTGGTGGGCCACCAAGCAGGGAAATTATTGCGAAAGCAAATTGTGGAAGGCATGTCTTCTGGGAAAGAAACTAGGCAGGGCAAGGCAAATGGCAAACCTTCGTATAAACAGCCTTTTCATCCACCCGACAATAAACCTATATTTACCACTAGTTTCATCTGTCACTTGTCGGCTACTTATTCACAAGTGCAGTAAGAATGCCATTATTTTATTATCTTTCAATCAGCTCAGAAACCGTCAAACTAAATTTGGTGTGATAAATAGAGCATCATAGCTAAATTTGAAAACCATTTCCACCGATATTTATGGTTTTTAGTTATGACAATGCGTATGGAGGCTATGCTTTTGGTTAAATATATCTTCGTGAAGGACTTTCTGAAGAAAATTAAAAGATGCACACTACATAGGGAAACCTCCGAAAACCATGCATACAATCGCAGGGAAGACTGGTGAAAAACGCAGGGAATCAGCCAGTTTGTCGGAATATGAACTTGGATCGAGCTTCTAAAGCAAAGTTATCATGGCTCGGCCACAAGAAGTTCTGTATGTTTATGGAGAACGTTTGAAACCTTTGAAACCGTGTTTGTTAAAAAGTGCAATCATATTTGGCGAAACCATAACAAAACGCACTTTTCGCGCAGCCGAAATTTATATTTTCCCGCATCTAATTAATACCAACTTTTTAAATGCTTTGCGAGTCCCTAAATTCGCTGAAAAACATTAAGTAGCATTAATTATTTATCCGAATCCAGCTGATTGCTTTTCGGCAGCTAATTTAAGGAAAATGCCTATTTATTATAAAGTTATGTCTCTTTTGCCATGTTCTCAGTTTGGAGAACATATACAAATGCTCTTTAAGGAGTATTTAAAGCGTTAATTTAAAGGCTTTGTAAACTCGAATACAAATTAGACAATCTGAAATGAATGCACCTTTACCATAGCATTAGAAACAAATGAAGAATTAAACTTCCAAAACGTAATCCTCGAAACAATTCTTTTAAATCCATCAAAATAAAGATTCGTATCTAAAACTTTCTGCATGTTTTACTGTTGACCTAAAATTTTAAATGAGAGATAATTTTGGGAAGAAAAACCATCTAAGTTTTGATAGATAGTACTGCATTCATAATTAACATCTGAAATTTATATTTGATACAATCTGAAGTTTGCTAAGATTGTTGATGTAGATACTCAATTACTCACGCGATATATTGCTTTCATACATTATCAGAAACTCCTTTAGCAATATCTATTCCTTGAAATCATCGGATTTATTCAATAAGTCCACTGTTCTCAATTTACACAGCTATCATTTGAGACATCGTTACTAGTGAAGTGCTAGAACAGAAGTCAAATAGATCGCCAACATTGCGTAGATTACTGAAATTCCAAGAGTAAAAGTCTGCCGATAAGACCAATTCTTTCTGAAAAACTTTGGATAATCTCAACTTTTCATTTCAGCTTAAATGATAAAAACTGCCTGCCGGTATTCAAAACTGGTAAAACAGATTTCATGCCAAAAGTTCGGCCATAAAAACTAATGATTTCGCAATACATAGAGCGGTTTTTGAATCGCATGGATTCGATACAACTAGAAATAACCTAAAGATTTAGTTGCATCTTGAGCTCGAGAACTTTACACACTTACTAGATTTCAATCGGATTAATGTACTCCAATTCTGATGGTGTTGAATTGTTGGTTCAGTTAGAAGATTTGTTCTTTTTCTGGAACAGAAGTATTTAGCCTCGCTTCCGAGGTACAGGACTTCAACGAATAGGACTAAACGGGAATTTTGAGGATTAAAAAATACCTTCGGCATGCAAGACTGCAGTTTCAAACCTTCTTAAAAGAGATGTAAATAAGACTTATTGTAATTTGCCATAAACTTAACTTTAGCATTTACTCTTCATTATCGACAAGCAGATTTATGAACTGAACAGTTTGGAAACGGTATCCGACAATTGGAAGGTTTGGAACAAACTTCCAGTAATTATCCGTCATAAATACTCAAGTTAACCGAAAATATAAGTAAACAGAAAATATTAACGTAAATTAAAAATCTTAAATTTTTGCTTTATCTTTAAAATCTGCGAAAATAAATCATTTCAGACTAATGACATTAGAAATACAGTTTAGTAATGTAGTAAAGAATTTTTTTAGTCAGTTTGGTTGCTTGAAAATGTCAAACGCCATACTACAAGTGTTTTCATCAGATAAAAGATTCATAGATGTACTACGAAATAGATTTTTTTATTTGAAATCAGCACCCGAAGGTTTGGTTTATGCGATTAGGCAAGCCTAGAGGGCTTGGGATGGCTTCGTGGATGTCTTTGAGGGAAACTGGCTCTTATACGTTACACGTGGCGAAAACCACGAAAACGCTTATGCAGCTAGCCCGTTTGCAAGATTCGAAAGTTGGAGCGTACTACCAGTGTTCAGCATCGTTACTACTCGGCCGCTGACAGGCCCAACATACAAAGGACTCCCTAAGCAAGGGATACCTCGGTAGAAGGTTTTTTTAAGTGAAACTGGCTCGTATTCGTGTTACACATGGGAAAAACCACGAAAGCCAACCAAGCAGGCATTCTGTTCCCCTGGGACCAAACCTGGATAAAACTCCTCGCATTCAGCTATCTTAACCACTCAGCTGCCCGTGGAGCCTGTATAAGAAGTAACATTTGCACGATTAGATTTTATTTATAGTGACTTAACATTTTACGATATTCACCACATACTTCTAGTTTAAAGATTTACTACATACTTTAATACTACATACTACATAATTACTACATACTACATACTACTACATAATTTTTACTACATACTTTTAAGATTTACTACATACTGAAAGATGCTATTTGATTACTAGTCGTGCCTGCAGCGAGACTTATTCATTCAATACAAATGCAGTTTTTCATACGAAATATTAGTATTATAGGTTATGAGATCTGTATTTCAAAACTTAAACCTTATGTTCAAATTACTTCGTTTTTGAAAAACTTTCATTACATTTCTTTATGGATGAGAATCATCTCGCATTAAACTTACAAGAATGTTAAATGTTTCTCGCCGCTTTATTGAAAATTTAGAATTAGTACTTAAAAATTCTGTTGGAACATATCCGAGTGATTTTTTATGAGACTTTAGTCCCATCAACCATTAAAGTCATGGCAAATCCCATAGGGAAGTAATGGGTTAAAATATTAAAGTTTTAAATTAAAATTTCCGGCAACAATTTTAACAATGAATTTTCTTAACCCTCTGGCGCTCTGATTAGTGCACGTTTTATGCGCAACCGCTTCTCCATACCAAATGGCGATAATACCCGTAGAATAATATCGCTTATCAAACTTCTGCTCGCCAATGTTTTCCATTTGGAATCATTTTTGTTCAGAACTTGGTTGGTACAAGGTATTCGCGCAATCTATTCCTTCCGCATGTGGTCATGTGAGCGTTTCTCTTAATATGGAACTTTAATTATTCCTACCTGCCGCCATTTTCTTTCAATACTGTAACAATATAACTATTAGCAATGTTTAGATTATAGGAATAAATCGTAACCTCCAAATTTTCTCGTTGTAGCTCGTTTTTGTAAGTAAAAGACTCATTAAGAAATGTGGGCTATTACAAGCCACATTACACACATAGCTATTAAAGGATTGGGAAGATATGCGTCAAACGAAGTTTAAGTATGTAGTCAAAAGAAAGACAATAGAGGACTTGATCAAGAACACATGCAAGAAGATTAATGCTAAATAGCATAAAACGTCAAAAATAAAGGTGTAAAAATTTTACTGGCGTAGGGCTGTTGATTTGACAGCCAGTCAATAGATGCTGCCCTTCGACTCCAACTTTATGCCTTACAGGAGTAACTGTTCCAGCGTTTTTGCTTGTGCAGACTGAAGAGAACAAATTAGTATATATATGGTCCTTTCATCTATGATGTTACAATGCTTGTGATGAGTTACTTTCATGAATACTTACTTGGAACTTACAAAATGAAAGCTTATGTTTTAATGCATTTTACGAGTACATAATTTAGATATTGATATTTAGAATGCTCTAAATTCTTTAACACACTGGAACAACATGCATCTTAACGAGTTTTCAGTTAAGAACTTCCATGATGTACAATCTGTTCGTGTGTGCAATCATGATGTACATTTTCCTCTTTGTGTGTATTATTCAGAGCTAAATTGAGAGTCAGAATGAAACTTAACTATTTGTACATTACAATCTAAAAACTATCTAATTAGAAATTAGCTAGCTAAAATTAACTCATTTAGTGCTGTCTTTTTTTTTTTTTTTGGTACAATATTACAAGTTGGGTGTCTAGTCCATTGCAATGAACTTATCACATCAAACCAATGTTCTAGACATCTCAGTCACAGCGAATATTAATCTAGTTTAAGAAACAAAAATTTCCATCATTCAGTATTCACCGATTTAGCTGTTAATTTCATGAAAGTTCACAATACCAGTAATGTACGGCAGAAGATTATCTTTTGATTTGGATTTCTGATGTAAATCAATTTAGATTTTGAATGAGCCATTCGACTTAAATATTTACGACTGAATATATTTCTCAGTTTAGACTGCTGGAAACTGGAAACAAAAGTTTTTGTACTGAGTGCATTAACAAAATTTAGGTAGAATAATGTTTTAATTTGGAGAATTGATTAAAAATTTTAATAAAATAAAAAGCCTAATATTAGTAACTGAACTCCAGCATCCACAATTTTTTTTTCTGCAATTTCAACAAGAAAATAAGAATGTCAAGTATCAGAAACATTGAGAGAAAAAGGAATGCGGTTCGTAAACTTGTTAATCATCTGATTCGATGTGGAACTACCCAAGTTTCCCATTTAAAAACAGCTCCAACATATTCAAATCACAGTAAAATTAGCGATTTCTTAAGAAAACTTTCGAATCCGGCAATTTATTGATTTTATTACCATACAATTTTGCAGTTTGTTTATTTTGAGTTGAGAATACGAAGTTGGCTTTTGCCACGAAAATGATTGATATACCCCAGCGAAGATTAATCGTAATTTAGAACTTAAAGTTTTAACTGCACTGAATTCTTAGGCATTAACTATCAGCCATTCTGAGAGTGATTTTAAAGCTCCTTTAGCCCAAGATATGAAGTTACAGCTTCTTTCCTGATATGCAGCAACTCATCCGAGAGTTCCCATCTAGTTCAGAAATACTTACGAACATCTTCTTCGCATCTCAAATTTTTCTTTAAGAATGCCGGCATTATCGGCAGTAACGCAGCTTTTGAAATTTTGCTGGTTAATACACCGAGAACTTTTCATAAAACCTGTAAAGAATAAGAAACCGTTGAAATGACCAGTATGGATATATAGAATAAATGAGATTTAAACAGTTCGGTTTGTCGAAGAATAAATTTAATTCTTTCAAAAACTTAAAATAAATCCAAGGAAGTTCTTTTTTGTGTTCAAGGGAAACTGGCTCATATCTACTACGTTACATATGGGAAAACCCAATCAAGTAGCCAACCCGTTTGCCTACGGTTCGAACCAGAGTCGCTTTGGTTTATTTGATTATGACAAAGCAGTCGAGGGTTATCTGCTTAAGGGGATAGATGCCTTCGTGGAGGACTTTCACTTGATAAACGAGACATGGGGAAAAACACGGAAATGCCCATGCAACCTGCCTGTTCTCGGAGTTTTAAACCCGAACGAACTACCAGTGTTTAGTGAATTCACCGCCCGGCCATTGACGGTCCCCAAAGAAGGATCGATTTCCGAATATTCAGCAATCTTAATCCCTCACCGCTAGTGGGGTGTATTTACAAGGATAGTTCGTATTTAAGTAAAAATACGTGCGGTAGCGTAAAGAAAGTACAACTAATTTCAAGCATACCTTACAATGTTTTGCAAGAGGACAATTTGCGTAAATTTTTTCATGGCATACGGTATCCAAAAATTCTGGACTTCCGAGAGAGAATACCTTTAAGAACTTTGTTATCTATGAGGACGCAAAGGGAATTATAATTCTAAATTTTAGAAAACTCGTCATCGGATATCAGAGGCTGTATATTTAAATCATTCAAGGATAATCCGAAGATATTAAAGCTAATTTTTTGCTGTTGCTTCTTTCTAGATGAATATATTCAATCTGAAAGTTGATGTTTGGGGAAATTCTTTTTCGTGCTTAACCGAGTACTCAAGGACTTCCGATGCTTCTGAACGCCTAAATAATAAGAGTATTCAGAACTTTACCGTCTTTGATTGAAGAAAGGATTCAAGATTAAACTCTAAATGCGATGACTAAAAAAACAGTTAATACTGTCGAAACCTGCATAGCTGTAACTGTGTGCAAATGTGTCAGATGTAATAGTTTCTGAATCCTTAATTTAAGACGTTAATTATTTCATCTGACAATAAAACTGCAGGTAAGCGATCAGGCATTGGAAACGCATGGCAGTCGTGATTTCTGGAGTATTAATGACCGAAAATACTTTCCGTATACGTATCTCATCTTCATATTATTAAATGCAATAGTAGGATCCACAAGGATTGCTTTTAGAGGAATGATAAAATTTAACATTTACCAATCCAAGCTTACAGATTCATGTGAGAATTATGGAACTTACAAGTTAGCAGTTGCAGATTCTTTATTCTGAAGTACCTCAAGAACAGGCAATCAAACACGTTACAGTTTCGTCAGTTATCATTTACAGGTCAAATATTTGAGTACAGCTTCTCAAACAATTCAGAATATACCTTACTTTCACTTGATAAATCTAACTTTCAATATGAATAAGAGATTACCAAGAAGCCAATTGTTTTACTAATTACCAATTATTTTTATACATAACAATTTATTTAATTTAAAGTAAAAATAAAGAGCAACCAACAAAAACCTACAACGCAGAATATCAGAATCATTTTAAATAAACGTATGCAGATTTTTGCCTCAAAAAATTAGAATGCATTATTTTTTTTTTCTACGTGGCTTCTATTTTGATCCAATGTTGCATAATCTTATCTTAAACCTTTTCACTTTTGTGATGAAGTTTGTTATATGAACGTTAAGCCATACTTTTAAATAGAAAATGGCGTCTTGAAGAGAAACCAGTGTTGATGCAAGGAAATTCGCATTAAAAATTATATAAAAGATTTTTACCGTGAAATAGCTAATATTGTTGGTAAAAGTCAATCGTCTATGCAGAAAATCCTTGAAAAATATAAAAATGGTGGATTGTTTGAAAAAGTGGAAGATGAAAAGATATTCTAAGTGACGTCACCAAAAGAAAATTTTGAAAGATTATCAACACTTATTCTGAAGCAAGTGCAGTCAAACTTGCTGCAGAAACTTCTCAAATCATTGCCAGAAGTGCAAGTGTTGAAAATTGCGAAATTCAATTAGTGTGGTGTGGTGGTGTATTTAATTATGGCAAAGCACATTAGAGCTATCTGCCCAAGGGGAGGGATGCCTTCGTGGAGGACTTTCTAAGGGAAACTGGCTCGTATACACGTTACACATGGGGAAAACCCCGAAAACACCCATGTAGCCAGCCCGTTCGCGGGATTCGAACCTCGGACCGAACTACCAGTGTTCAGCGACTTTACCGCTCGGCCGCTGGTGGGCCCGAAATGCAATTAGACAAGCTGGATATAAAAATAGATTTGCTAGAAAAAGACCACTCATCAGCTTGCAAAATCGGAAAAGGGTCTGCAGTTTTTAAAAACTTATTTGAAGACTAGTACCTTTTCGAAGAAATTGCATTCACTGATTAAAATTAATCCAAAATTTTCCGCAGCGACAGCCGTATGCAGAAAAGCCAACACAGTTTTGGATCCAAAAAATACATCCTGTACATCCTGTAGTTAAACATGGTAGTGGCTCCGTTATAGTTTGTGGTTGTTATGGCTTCAACTGGGTAGGAAATTGAAATTTAGTTTCATAGATGGCATTATGAATCGTATGGTTTATTTGAATGTACTTCACATTAATCTAAAAGAAAGTGCTAAGAGGTTAGGTTTCGACGGAAATTTCATATTCCAACACGACAATGACCCCAAACACGACTCATAAGATCAAAATGTTGTATCTTGCTCATTATAAAAGCAGTTATACACACCACCATAATCCCCAGACATCAATCTCATAGAAAATCTATGGACCACGCTCGAAACAGCGGTCCAAAAGCACAGAATTAAAACAAAGCACATTTTAAACAATTTTGCAAGATGAATGAGAATATCTTCAGATACGAGCAAAACTGGTGGTTGAATTGGTACTACAACGTTTGGAAGACATCATAAAAGCCAAAGGACATGCAACAAAATATTGACTTTCTTTGCATGCGAGAAATCACAAAAATGTCATTGTGTATTAATTTTTGAGGCAAAACTCAGCATATGTTTATTTAAAATGTTTCCGAATTTTTTAGTTAATTTTTCTTTATTTTTACTTTAAATTAAACCATTCGTTACGTGTAAAAATAGAAACGTGTTCCCTCTTCTTAGTAATGTGTTATTTATATTGAAAATTAGATTTATCAAGTAAAAGTAAGGTGTACTCTCAATTGTTTAAGCCACCGCATATTATGAAGAGTACATACTAAAGTCTACCTTAATTTTCCACAGAAACTGAACACACGGCAAGGTAACTAGCAAAATAATGTTTAAACCAAGAATTAAGGCGTACTTCATTAAACGTTCAAAGCGTGGCAAAAACAAAGTACATTATTACATTCAAGAGGATAAGCTTAATTTTCATAAATTACTCACTTTTCCACCAATCTGAACCCCGTTTGCAGAATTGTTTAATGAAATCTTCGTTGTTCATAAACGTCAGCTTGATCGTGGCAGAAAGTTCTTCGTCGCATATTTGAGAAACATTAAAAAGGCATTCGATGTATTGCCCTTGAACACTGAAAATAAATATTAGAAAACAAATGAAGATAGTTAAGGAAATTCAGAGCTGAACATAACAGTTTAAAGTTAAAACAAAGGCTACTGTAACAGATTTCAGCTTTAATCCGATCTTTATTTGATTATGACTGGCGAAGCTTATCTGCCCAATGGTAAGGGATGCCTTGGTCATGGATTTACCGTCTCACCATGAATATATTGAAAAATCATATCAAGTCCAAAATGATTTTTCATTTTCAGCTATATTTGTTTCAGCTATGAAAATCAAGTATTTTCAGATCCACAGCCTAGTTCATTCACATTTAAGGATCAAATACGCTCCTACTTGGGCAATATCTGCATGATGTTTTAGCTCTCAGATATTAGCTTTCGTTTGCGAAATTATGACAAGGCACACCAGGATTACACGCCTGATAAAAAAAAGATTCGTTTGTGCAGGTTTTCTGACACTGTCTGGCGGTCATGTTAAAAACAGAAAATACGAATATGTTAGTGCTCCTAGTACATTCGCAAAGATTTATACTCTGGTTACACTAGCCGTGTTCAGAGGTAGTATCTTGTCACCAGCGGGCTTATTAGACACCAAAATGTCCAAACATTTCACAAGATAAAGCACAAGATGCAATAGAAAATCAATTATCAATTATTGTTCTCGACAGTATAAATAGATATGTTCATTTACATTTTTCAATCATGTTAGAAAATTTTTAAAGATCAACATTTCGCCATTAGAAATATATCCTCCCATATTTCTGTGAAATACGGGACATTTTCTTCACACGACCTTGGGATGAATGAATCAGTTGTAACCATTCGGAAGCGAAAATGCTTGTGTAACTTCCGAATTTAATGCAATTGCGCTTATAAAACAACTCGCATTAAATAATTTTCTACATTTGAGCGTTGCTTGTTGGACCTCGCCAAATTAAATGCCTTTGTCTATTATAACCGATGTTATTCTTCAAAGTATGAAGAACAGAGTCTTAAAAGTTTGTCATTGTGTTTCGCTTTTTGTTTGCTGAATAAATAACTAGGTCATAGATTTGTTCAGTTTCGGAAAATTTTGCCATAACGGAAGTAAATTGATGGGAAGCGTTTTCTCGCCAAAATGAAGATGCAATGCATATCTTTCCAGAGAATATTGTTTGCCGTGTGCCGAAGTATAATGGAAAATATTACCCAAATTTTACTTCAAAACATTTCCCAGATATCTTAAACCGAGCGGTTTAAAAGTAATACTGCCATTTGTATAGGTTTTGAGTACTTACTAGTACATAAACATTTAAATATTTGCTTTGGAATTGCGAAACAAAAACATTTCAGTGCCACATATTGCATATGCAGAAATACCTAAGCAGAAATCTAAGCATAGATACCTAAGCAGAAACCTAAAATTAAAAAATTATAACTTCATAAACAGAAAAACAGTAGGACTAGCGTGTTTCTCAATTAGTTTTAAGACTTTCTTTCTGAAAAAGATTTTAATAGTAAAAGGAGATTTTTTTGAGCTACATAAATGAAAGTTTCAGTAGAAGTAGAAATCGGCGTTCCTTTGCATAAAGGAGGAGCAAATAAACTCGTAATGTTCATCCACTTTAATATTTTAGACGGATATATATGTCAGGTTTGGTGGTACTACTAAAGCTTTACAAATAACAAAGAAGTTCATGCAAGATTTAAGATATATTATGGAAAGCTGCAGCTTTCTAGCAGTGAAGATTTCTTACTCAAGTATTTTCAAAATGCTAGCTGAAGAATATAACTATACTGCCTCAGAACTATAATATGGTGAAAACCAGCGAAACAATCGGTGATTTCACTGAAATTTTTCTCGTGATTATCAATTATACCACGCTAGAAATATACCACGCTACCACTCTAGAAAACCAAATAAAAATAACTGCTGCTTTAAAAATTTACAAATTCGGTAAAATATTTATCTATTCAATTGGATTCTATACTCTATATTGTGGATTGAATGAAATGCTAGTTAATCATATGAGACCTGTTAAGTCTTGCATTTAGTTCCATATGTTTAATTACGGCAAAACACTTGGAGGGTTATTTGTCTAAAGGAAGGAATGCCTTCATGGAAGACTCAATAAGGAAACTTGGGGTCATATTCATGTTACACATAGGGAAAACTACGGAAACGCCCATGCAGCCAACCCTTTCACCCGGAATCAAGGTTTGGTTTCATTTATTTGACTGCGGCAAAGTACTCAAGAGCTATCCGTCTAAGAAAATGCCTTCGTGGAAGACTTTCTAAGTGAAACTAGCTCACATACAAGTTACACATGGGGAAAGCTGCGACAACGGCCATACAGCTAGCAGGATTCGAACCTCAGACCGAACTATTGACATTTGGCCGCTGGTGGGTTCTTGCCTGAAATTAAACCCAGGTAGTGCTTAATGACGTTAGTGCCCAGCCACTGATGGGCGTTCCTAAATTATGCAGTTAAATGCTTAAATCAGTACTGCAGAAATGAATTATTGCTTTCGAGCTATTACTTATACTGGTGTTAGTCACAATGCTTACGCTATTAAAATAATGCAACAAGATAACTTACAATGAAATAATACATTCCAATGCCACGTTCGACACTTTTGTAATGAAGTAGGCAGCCTAAATCAGAAACTTAGTTTTAATAAAACCAAATTATAGTAACTACCATCAAATTAAGAGTTGCAACTACTAATTATTAGGTGTATGCATATCTTAAAAGCAAAGTTAAATAGGTTTGGTTTGTTTTGCTTTATTAACACAAAGGACACTAGCGCTACCTTTCTGAACGACGTCCTAAGGGAAATTGACTCGTACACGCGTTACACACAGAAACTCACGAAAAATTCCCATCTAGCTAGCTCGTTCACCAGAATTTGAATCCGAACCGAAATACCAAATACGTATTCAGCAACTTCGCCACTGGCCCGCTATTGGTCCTCGTATATAAATAGGAGCACACACATCAAGAAAACGTAACGGTATTCAACACTTTAGTGACGATGATCGTTTCCAATATTTCGAAGGCCTCCCTTAATGTAATTGCTTCATTAAAACCTACACCGATGGAAATTTGCTTCGAGGATAGAGTCTTATAATTACATTGGAAATTTTTATGAAACTGAAGATTTTCCCAACATGTTACATTCTGTTCAAATGTTAGCTTTATTTAAAAATAGCAAAAGCTAAACATCTTCTGATTTAATAGCTTAGTGTTCTTCCCGTTTCTCCATGTAACAAAAAGCTGTCCATATCGGTCTCGTAAATTTGGCGCTTTTCACTTCATACCAAATTTACTTTTAGACGTTTTGGGAAATTAGGTTTTAAATAACCTAATAGTATGTCCCGAATGATTTAAGTTAAACGCTCTAAAATTATACGCATTAATTCTCGTATAACGGTCCTAAACAGCAAAGTGAAAAAGAGCAGTTGAGTTAACTTCCCCGAATAAAGACTTTTAGGTGATCTTTTGATGTTACGTCCCTTATTAATTAGTCTATAAGCGTAAGTAAAAGCTTTAAATTCCCTTGACACGAGTTAAGTCGCAAATTCAAGAGGTTCAGTTACCATTAATTAAGTACATAACAGTACTTAAGGAAATACTTTAGTCTTAAACACAATGCTATTTGTGTTACGAAATTAACTTGCGTAAGCTTTTTTTCGAGCAGGAAGAATTTTTTCGGTGTTCCAGTTTCCTAATGATCACGATCAAAGAAAATGTGGAATTTAGCATTATTAAATTCTTTAAGTCAACTAAAAAACAAACTCATTTTAAGTGCCAAAAAGTAAAGTAGATGCGAATTTCTCTTAATAGATCAAACTGATTTTTAAGAAATGTTACAATGTTAATTTTTAGAAAATTTAAATTTTATCAGAATATAACTATGCGACTAAGAACAAATAATTTGTATTTAAAGGTTTTTTTACCCGCATAATTTTTCAAGACCTTCATCTGCAGCCGGTAAATATTGGGCCATCTGCACTTCAACTCGTAAGTTGGAGCATTCCACAAGCTTTTTAATACATTCCTCACAGCTGAAGAAAGGTAAGAAACCTATAAAAACAAGAAAACAAAAAAAAAATCTGAATAACTGTATTAGGAAATAAAAGAATTTAACGATAAAAAGAAATGGTAAACAACAAGCAAAAGACTTAACATTACCGTATACGAAAAGCAGACTTAACAACCACATACTGCCAATACAGACTTCAACAAGCGCGAATCTTTTTCTCCCATGCCGCAATTATAAAGAACTGATGTGGACCAATTATGCATCTTTATTCATGTCGGAGTTTTAAAATCCTTACTCCCATACGGCAGGTTACAGAATATAAAGAACTATGCCCTTCTATGATATAAAGAGGCATTATAAAACGAAAATGTTGTGTCTCCGTGAGGTTATATGGAATTGTGGACTTTCACTTATTCTATGTACTAATTAGTTTCAAACTGTTACAAAAAATAGTGGAAAACAAAATAACGTAGGACGTAGAAATCGATGAATAAGTATAAGTCAAACAAAACTTTTAAAATTATCTTTCAATTATATTTGTTGCAAACAGAATCTTTTAATCTTTAGAAAAGTAAACATGAAAACTTAATAGCCCAAACGCGCAATTCGGCCAGAAGGCATCTTGCGTTGGTTCATTATAAACGATGTTTCACTCTTTAAATTGTTGCCACCAAATGTTAGAGCCATTCATTAAAGAAATTAAATAAGGAAGAATTTGCATGCATGTAAATATGTTTCTCGCACAGTGAAAAACCAACGGTACCTAGATACATCAAATTCCGAATAACGTAGTCCTCCACTCGAATATGGTCATCCGGAAGCCTAGATTTGAAATTTGTTTTATTATCTATTTCATATTTTGTATTGAGTTTTTGATTACGAAATTCAACGATTTCAAGGGAGCAATGGCTACACTTTGCAGGAAAAAAATATATATATATATATATATCTTAATCTCGCGAGTCTGTGTATTGGAAATTCTAAAGCTATGATCATTTTAAAATTATTTTGTGATATTGCTGTTGAACTGAATTTTATGGTTTAAGTGCGAAGAACATGACATCTAATGAATAAAGGTAACATACAGAACGTTAAAAAACACTCCTTTGGGCGTACTATAAAATCTGAAAAGGTTTCAGATTTTTCTTTTTTATTCCTTGATTCAATCATCTTTTATCCAAAGGCCATTTCTGAAAAACCAGCCATCCCTTTAGGAGTAACATACAAAGAAACCCAAAATACAGGGGAAAGAATTACACACAATTGTAATCTAACTTCACATTATTATATGCATACTGAATATGTACAATACGTAAATAAGCTGTTTACGACTGCTTGCAATTATAGAGGATCGAGGCCGTTTATTTAATGCTTAAAATACATATAGTCCTTTATGTAAAGCTTGATCTGATAGCCTTTTTTTCTGAAATATAATTCTGCATCCTAATTTCCATAAAAGAATATATTCCATAAATTTTCCAGGGATACTGATTTCCATTCCCTTTTCACTGCTTTCCAGAGTCCATCAATCATGGTGGGTTTCCGCTTAGAAAGAGCTATTTCTGAAGACCCCAGGCACAGTAGTTCATAAGTAAAACGTCAGGAGGCATCGCTGAAATACGTTGAAAAGGTACCTATGCAATACCTGTATCAGTTTTCCTCTTTTTAAAGGATACAGGGATGCTTTTCGAAATACGATTTGTTGCTTTCTGTTGATGAACAAAATGTATTATTTATCTCTTGCTAAACAATTTTCATGCAAGGTTCTACTAATTATTGTTCTGCGTTGAACTATTTGCCTCAGTAAAACTGGTAAATATTATCACTTTAGCTTTTTTAAAGTTTAAATCTTGGTTTATTATTTTATTTATTGTTGCTGTCGATTTCTGCTTAGGCGGTTTTTCTCTTGTTACCAAAGAATTAACTTAGAACATTACTTACATTTATAGTAGGCGATAGATTACTTTAAAACACTAGAAATAGTACATACGTTTTTCGGATATTGGTTTGGATCTTCTTTCCATGTATATGTACTGACTGATGGTTTTTCCTTTTCCGAAAAATAATGTTTCCTATTTTACACTTATTTATTTCAATACGCAATACCTTTGAGTTATAGAATGGAAATATTTCTCTCCGGAATGAACAAAACGTTTTATAATTCACAGCTTGTTTTCATGCGACATTTAGAAAGAATAAATTAATTTAAAAGTAGCGGAAGATATTTCTCACTTCAAATAATAAACTGTTGCCAGGAATTTTTATTCCAAAACATTTCGTTTTCTTTTAAATTCTTTATCGAAATTATTCTAAAAATGCTTAAACGCCCTCTATAATTTATTACTTTCTCATTAATGTACGCTTCTTTTCTGAATCAAAATTGAACCGGAATAGATTAGTAAAATAAATCACTAAAGCTGCAAAATCCTTCTGTATTCTGATGTTAAGAATTAGTTATTATTTGATGTTAAGAATTAGTTAGTATTCTGATGTTAAGAAATGCGCAAAGAATGGTCTAATAAGTCTATCATCTTCCAGTACTACATAATTGATTATCGATGAGTAAATACAGTAAAGCTATTAATTCCCTTATAAAGAACTAGTTAAAGTTGGTTGTTTCTAAGATACTCGCTGAGCAGAGGGACTTTTAGGTCCTGGTGATTTGTAAACATCAGTGACAATGCGAAGCATTTTATTTTGGATAATTTAAAGCTTTTTAATATCTGCCAGTATAGGCTGAGCCCAGCCTCCTGAGGCCTAACATAGAATAGGCCGAATATTCGTTACGTATAAAGTCCTTTCGCCCCTAATGGCCATATATGACCTGCGACTAAGTAAGAGCGGGCAACATAAAAGCAAAATGTACATTGCTAGGACAACTACTCTCAAATTAGCGAAGGAGAGTCAAAACGAGTATCGCTATTAACTCCGCCTACACTGAAGATGACCCGCGAGTGGATGTTTGTTTACACTGTGCTATTGTCTGAGTTATTACTGAAATAGTCCTGTTAGGATATGGGGTGTGCATAACTCGAATCTGTCCACAATTACTTTTTTCATTAAAAGATATATTTAATTCTGAATACGAAACAAAACTTACGTAGGCCTTACTTCCATATAATATTGTCATGGTGGGCGGGGTTGCAATCTCCATTTACTTTGACTTTCATTGGCTAATTTCCAGCGGTTGCCCTAGCAGTGAGTAATTTGCTTTTATGTGAATCGATGTATTATGGTGTTAGCTGATCATTAGCTTCTCCTCGCGTACATCAGTCGCACGTGAAGGTTGTCTTAGCACGGCTCTCGGTTTTACTAAGTCAATTTGATTTTTCTTCTACGATCAGTTGTTAGCACATAAAAGGTTGCTCACCGGTCTTAAGTGACCAAAGAGTAGTAAAAAGTCCTGAGTGCGATTTTACTGATTCTTTGCATCTATTTTTCCCTGATGACTGAACTAGTTTAAGGACTTGATCAACATGTCACTGGTCAAACTAATTTTCGCTCGATATGCGGAATTAACTTCCAAAGAGAAGGATTTACCTTTGACTGAGGATGAAAGAATTGATCTGGATTTTCTATTAAATCTTCTCCCTAACCTTGTAAGTATCTTAAATTTTACTAACGTTTATTTTATTTTAAATCTTTACTATCACTTCTTATTTTCTACTTCCGGCCAGAATTGTAAGCGTGAAGGTTTTTATGCAAAGTTTGTCTGGCGAACGCCAAGTATTTAAGTTGTGGCTTTTTGCCAAGCAAGGAAGAGAGGAAGCAGTAAGTCAACGCAGGCCGCTTACCTTAGAAGTTACGCAGTTGCTGTTCGCCTTCCAGGCCAGAGGTTTTAATCCTCTTCATAAATTAAACGTATTGTAGTGTTTACAGTCTCTGTGCTACATACGCTTCCTGTTATTATAAGGCCAATCTTCCACGTGTATTATTCTAAAGTTAAATTAGAGTTTAGTTTTATTTTTATACTTTTTTACGTTAGAACCCCGAGTGGAGGGTCAGTGTATTCCGAAGTACGGAAGTTATTGTATATAGAGAAAAATAAAGGGTTTTGTATACCCTTCGTCTGTATCCTGTCTACTTACCACAATTAGTGAACATAGCTTTAGTAAGCTCTCTGTTCCGAGTCAGGTCCTTGTATGTTCCCGAAGAAGGTTAGAAGGAACATTGAACCTGATAACCTATCGGATAAAGTACGAGCAAGTCTGAACTCCACGTGGCTCTGAACTAGGCTTAGCGCAAGTCGGTTCTAACCGGTTAGCGCCTAATGAAATTGATTCCCATCATGCTGATGTCTCCCAACACGATATGCATTGGACTGCTGTTACCAAAAGTACGAAACGTACTCTGAGCGATACTGAATCGGACCCTCCTGAGGTGCAAAAGAAATTTGATGTTCTTGCGAACATAGCTGATGATGACTCCGCACTTACTGTCGAACAGTACAAGCACAGTACCATACATGAAGGTGATGTTAGCTTGAAACGAAATCCCAAACCGAAGGCTCCCAAAAGTTTAAAAATCTCGCCTAGTCAGGACATAGGTAGTAAAATTACACAAACATTGAGTTCTGAGTTTGCGGTCAGCAGCCACAATAATGTGGCTCCATCTCGTGAAGGAACTAAGAAACAGGCTGCAGCGAGTAGGTCTGGAATGAAAAAGCAGCGCGACCACTCAGTTATCCAGATGAGGTCACGTGCCCGACTGGGCGAACTGACGTTCATATTCCCCAGGCTGGCGCAACTCAATTGAACACTATGGAGGAGAGACTTAGTGAAAATGCCACTAATGGTGAGGATAACAATAGTATGGACACAGACGCTAGTACGTCTAAACAAAATACAAGCTCAGATGAAAACATAGAAGCGGAATTTGTGAAAAAGTCACGGATACCACCCATAACTGTTAAAGTAGATTACCCTACTTGGAAAAACATAGCTAGGGCACTTAAACAGAGAAACATTGAGTTTAACTCTAATAAGAATAATAAAGGGATTAAAATTTTCATCAGAAACCCTGAACATTACAGGCAGGACTGTTACTTATTTAAAAGACACGAAAAGTGGAACACATCACTCTTTCACGCTTCCTGAGGATAAAGACATAAAAGTTGTGATAAGAGGTCTTTTAAGAGATACAGATACGGTAGAAATACAAGAGGAGTTAGAGGATTTAGGATACAAAGTTGAATCAGTTAAGCAACTTACGCGCAGAAGAAAAGGGGGAGGTTATTAAACTCCCGCTATTTTTAGTTACTCTGCCTAAGAAACCCAAACCCAAAAGATATACACAAATCCAA